CCATCCTTAGGTCTCAAATAAACTATATGAAAATATCACCCCTCTCAAATATGCCTTTACTTCCAGTGTAATTAATAAGATCATAATTTTCTCATAATTAAAAAAAAATTAAAAGCTACCATATCTCAATCCCTGACTGCAGTAAGGGAGCGCTAAAGGTATGAGAGGTTGACAAGCAGGCGAGCTCTGCAGGTCCGCGTGCCTGGCGCCAGACGCTGTGTAAATCTGTCCTTGACTGCACATTTCCCCTCTTAAGAGAGGATAATGAACTCTCCTCCCTTCCTAATTTGCAAAGATATCATCTTTAGTCAGTACTGAAACGGTGGTGGTGGTGAAGAGGCCTGGGTCATGAACCAGAAGAGGTCAGGGTTCCAATCTCTTCTTGGGTCCCTCGTAAAACCAGGAGACAGTGGCCAAATGCATCTGCGGGTCTCTAAGGTTCCCCAAAAGAAAGAGCCTCGGGCCAGAGGGTGTGTGTGTGTGTGTGTGTGTGTGTGTGTATACAATCCCATCCTACAATCCCCTAGGATCTCTAGAAGCTGTGGCTTTGCTTTCCTCTAGGCGAGCGAGGCCTAGAGAGGCCAGCACAGCCTTGGGCGCAGGTTCCCAAGGTCTTCCAAGTCCACGGAGCCGGAGACCCCCCCGCCCAGGGCCGCCTCGACGGCCCGGGCGGGGGTGCTGTGCAGCCGGTAGGTGTCGCTGTTCCCCTGCCGGCCGGAGCCAGATCCCCGCGCTCGCCCCCAGAGCCGTTCAGCCTTGCGCGCCGGGTCTGTTCACAGACCCACCAGAACTCCCCAGAGAGGGCCGCTGCCTCCCGGGAACCGTCCCCTCGCTCACCTGGCCCCGACCACAGAGACACTGGCCAGCCTAGGGAGGCGCCTTCGGGGAGATAAAGGAGAGAAGGGCCAGCTGGGGCGAAACTCCGGGCCCCGACGTAAGCTGCTCAAAGCCTTCTACTCTTGCAGCTACTAATTCCACCTCCTCTCTCCTCACGTGCTTCTGGACAGCGGTGGTGCATTGGGAGCACCCTGGTAAAATCCTGAGTCGGGAGATTCAACTAGAGCGTCACATTGCCTTTGAAAATAAACAAGAGGTTGAAATTTCAGCTTCGTGGGAGCTAGTCTCTGAAAGAGTTGAATGGGTTTCAATTTTCTTGCCTCCCTCCTCCCCCGCCCCCCAAGAAAAAGAAAAACAAGTAAGGAAGAGAAGGAACCTAGGCCTGGCCACATGCGTGAGCTACATACTATCTTGTATCCACGTTTGCACCCAGAAATGCCAGGTAGCAGGCGTTCTCTCCCACAGCCCCATCCACCGTTCCGCCCCTGCCCTGGAGGGAGTCAGTATTTGGAATGTGGCTGTTTTCCCCGAAAGCCTTAGTAGCCAAGTATTATTCCTCTCCAGAAATCTAGCAGTTAGCACGTCTTTGGAATATTTATTGAAATTCTAGGTATTGAGAATTCTGCGCCCTTCTCTGGCGTCCTGCGGCTCCCGGCCTCGGCCTCAGTGTGCCGCGTAACAGATTATTGATCAGCGGCGTTCTTTTTGTGTGTGTCTCAAAAGGAGGAGGTTTGGTTTATGAATACTGAGAAGGACATTTATAATAGGTACATCCTATAGGTGACTAGAAATTTTATGATTCTGATTGTTTTGTACGCCGAAATCACTGCTCCGATTTGAAAGATGGCGAGGGACCGTACTGAAAAGACTAAATCCAGAACCTCGTGCTATTGAAAGAGTTAGTTTACAAAATGAAAATGACTCGGTATTTAAATTAAGTTTAGAAGAATATCTTCAGTCAAAATGTGGGGACATTTTGCAGTCAAATTTTAAAGAGATCTACGCTTCATCTGCGTATTTTTTGTGAAAGTGATCAATTCGTAAGGAAGAAAAACGTAACAAATAAAACGTAACCAATATCAAACAGAAAGAAAGAAAAATTCTCACTTAAAGTCCAAAATGTCAGTACCCATCTCATTCCTTACTCTGGACCACGGTCTCGCTATCTCGGAGGACATGGCTGGACAAGTGTCTGAGTCTTCTTCAAGGCAAGCCTTAATTTTTTTTTTTTTAACGTGAGGCTGGTTAACATAATCTTTAAGTGCCATTTTGCGATGCTCCACAAAATTGGCTCCTTTCAGTTAAATCCAATATCTGTTAAAGAATTCTAAATAATTATTTCTGATTGAGACAGCAAATTAATCATTCGGTGACGCGGGGGCGAGGGGGGGTGGGAGAAACACGTGTCTAATTGGAGGTTGTGAAGTTCAGTGAGGCGATATTTTTAGGTTTGGAAATTCAGATATTTGGGTATCTCTCCCCCTCCTATCCTTTCCCCACCCCCTCCTCATTTTACTCTCTCTTTCACTCAACCCTTTGGGATCCCTTTCTCCCCCTTTCTCAGCCTGTCTTCTCCCTACAGCTCCTCTCTCCTCTTTCCTCTCGCTCGCTCTCTCTCCGTCTCTCACTCTCTCGTTTATTGTTCTGATCCTATCAGTCAAGTTAATATAAAAGTAGTGAGTGGGAGACCCCGCATCCGTAGCTGGCCCTCTCCCGGCAAGCCCAGGGCACTTTGGGGGAGGTGTTGGCGGCTGCCAGGTTCCCGGCCTGAGGGTGGCCCTTGGTGCAGGTCAAGCTGCTCGCGGAGGAGTTGGGGTCTGAGCGGGGTTGCGGGGCTTATTCAAATGCTGTCCGCTGCTGCTGTGATTCGCAGGGACTCGGCCTCCATATGGTAATGTTGGGGGGGGGAGGCGC